TTCTGCTTCATCACAGTATGCACCTTCATTCACAATCATCACACGGTCATTTTTCGAAAGACCAACTCCAAGGAATGTAAGTAGCGGCCGCGTCCCGAGACGAGGTACAAAGCTTGTATTGTAGCTTGTGGGATTACGATTCCCTATATGGTACACTGCTAATCGTACCAGCAAACTTTGTGCGCGACGATAACAAACTGCTAGTGCAACATCTGTCCCAATAGCCTTTGTGAAGTTTAACTCCAGAAGTGTTTCATTTACGAAACTCTTAGTGTACTCAGCAGCAGGCAACGGTGTTGGGGTGAGTGTCTCATCGCAACGCTCATCACACCGCTCTGAGGCATTTACAACATACACTTCATCTTGCGCAGAGAGTTTAGTACCGTAAATAAACATACTGAAACTATCAGTTTCTGGGGTAATAAATGCGGGTTTGGTTGTAATGGTTGCTGGGTCTTGCGGTGATACAGAGAGCGGTGACCGTGTTACTGCGTGGAAAACAGTAGCTGCTTGGAGACGAAAACACAACTTGTAATTTTTTGTTTCATGTCCATCAGGGAGTTTGGATACCCACAGAGACACATTATCACCTTCCAGTTTATCAAACACAGAATGAATAACACCTGATGCGTTGGATGCTCCTTCTGCATTACATTCCACATTCCCTGGCAAAAGGAAGAATTCATCCTTATCCGAAAAGGTAAGTTTTGGGTAACTGGTAGTGTCCAATTCAAAGGTAAACAGCACAGCCTGTAAGTAGGAAGGAGTATCCAAACACGGCACCACTCTGGTTGAAAGTTGAGGGTAAATTGAAAAGGTCACTGGTTTTCCTGTGGTGTCGGTTACAATAGCATAGTTTGATTGACTCGCACTCTTTTGGTAACAGATGTAATAATCACCCAAGTACTCCGACGTATTTCCAGCGAAAAAGTTAAAAACAGTCATGGCAGTACTACTCTCACTTGCATTAGGGTCTAACGTGAGTGCTGCGAATGGTCCTGTTGGGTTCTCACATGGGCGTCCTGTTGTTCCTTGTGAAACAGGCACTATACGTACCTTATCTTGAAGACTGAGACTATTACCACCACTACCGGTGGCACTCTCAAACCGCATAGATACATTGCTTTCAATAAAGCTGTAGGTGGGGGAAAACCCACAAGGGTCACAGGGGGCTACTGTGATCGTTACATTATGCCTGATTTTGGGATCTGTCTCTGTACTGCGTGTGCCAAGGTACAACTGATATTCTCCTGGTTCTGACAATACAACTGTAAATGTATTCGCCTCACCACCCTTTGCGTAATCCAAGGGTGTGACATACTTTACATCCAATGCGCAGCCAGCCTGTGG